TCTCAGAAAGACAAAGAAACAGCAATGCTGACACCTCAATACCCTTCAATAAAAGGCAGTAACCACCTTAATTGTTTTCTTCTCAAGCTCTTTCCATTCCATTTTTTGTCAGAGAAGGAAGAACATCTTTTTTCCAAGCAGTCCTGTGTTAGTTCAGGCATTTATCTTACATAAACACTTGGATATCTCACAAAGACTGATCTAAGGTTTAAAGAAGATGTAAAGAAACACTCCTGCTCTTGCAGTCATGCAGGGGCTGCAGCAGCTGTCGCATGTCAGGAATTGAGCAGAGCTGTTAAAAGTGACTTGAAAGACAAGAGAACACAGAGATGCTACCAACATGAGAAAATCCTGTGCTCTGAGAAGGAATGACTTTTCCTTCTCAGGGGATGATGGTTTTCTAGTCTTGCAGTACAGATTGTAACAACTACATCAAAAAATCTGAACATTAACTGGAAAACTGATTATTTGATTTAAAAAGCATAAAAACAGTGATTGTGACAGATTATGAATTGTCCATCTCTACCAGACTTTAAAAAAATCCCAACTGTGATATTCTAGGCTCTGTATGATACAGAAAATGTGAAGTAAAAGCCCTAGAACTGTCACCTATAGAATATAAGATTAAGGAATCAGACTGGTTTGGGTCAGAATGGACCTTAAAGCTCACCTCTTTCCAACCCCCTGCCCCCCATTCCACTCCACCAGGTTACTTGAAGCCCTGTCCAACCTGGCCTGGGACACTTCCAGGGATGGGGCACATACACAAACTCTCCTGGCAGCCTGTTCCAGGTGACTGAAATAAATGGATTTTAGGGGGAGAGTCCCAAGGAGAACAGATTCATGTGACATTCCTGAGATGAAGATGGCTGATTTCCATACACAGGACAGTGTGCAGGGGCACTCATGGGCAGGCTGACAGCCGTGCTGCTAATGGTGAGTGCTGAAGCAGATCTGCCAAGGGAAAAACTTCTGGAGTAGTTACAAGCATTGAAAGCATCCAGAGCAGGTGACAAAGTGAGCCAGCACTAACTGACCATAGCTAACCACAGCTGATGATCCAGAAAGGACATGGAGTGAGAAAGGTGGCTGGAGTACCCACTGTCACCTGTACAGAGTAGAAAGTGATACCTACTAATCAACACTAGCCATATTAAGTGTTTTTCAGGGAGACAACACAGCACCACATAGAACTAAGTCTTCATAATTTAGTCAGGTATGTGACAGTATTAAAAAGTTTTGCCTCTTCTCTAAGAGAACCAAAGAAGCTTTACAGGGAAGTAATAAACACAGCATATATTCAACCACTCCTTAGAGGAAGTGATCCATATGCATCCTGGTGCCTGATCAGGTTCTACTATTAGAAATCCTTGGTCCTTCAGGAAACCCTGAATGTAAAACTCTTTCCTTTCTGTAATTATAATTTTGTAGCAACATCCTAAAGCAGCATGTAGACAACCTGTGAAGACTGACTAAACATCAGGTAGTCCCAGAAGAGACTGAAAACGCTTCCTGAACTGTTAAGAATTAAGTAGCCATATCCTCTAGATTTTTGACCCTGGTCACTGTTTTAGATTCAAGGAGAATGTAAGTGTGTCACAGACTAAATAAAATAAGCTACTGAATTTAAAGTCAGATGGACCAAAAGAAGTGTTAGTATAAAGAAGTACCATGGCAACTACACGTACATAGAAGATTGACTCAAAAACCAATTGTACCTTCACAACTTTGCCTGTGATTTATTTACGCTGTGCAGAGAATCATTAAGGTTGGAAAGGACCTTAAAGACCATCAAGTCCAACCAGCATCCCATCAGCTTTCTGTGTTCTCCATCTTGATGGTGGCAGAGGGCAGCAGTGCTTGCTACCTTGTTTGTCTATGCCTATCAAAAAGAGGCCAGCTCTTGCCTTCTTTTGGTATTTTTTTAAACCAGGCAGAGACCAAAGGAGAGATTTCTGCCCGTGGAAGGAACTGTGCAAAGAGGTGAATTTGCACATAATACCCACAACAAAACATCTCACTGGTTAGAGCAGTGCTGTGACACAGACATTGCAGTGCAGTACCATGTTGTCACAATAATCAGTGGAAAGATATTCCCTCCACACTTCCTCCTGCAAGTCAGATCAACACCTGATAAAGCAGGAATTCCCAAATGTGATTGGACTGTTCCTCATCTCTAATTGCTACTGAAGAGCAGATCATCACAGGTCACAGCTTGGCAGACAGTTTTCACACAAGAAATAAAACACAGTTTTATGGAGTAGACCTCACAAAGACCCTTATCTGAATTTCAGTGACCACAAGAAGCCTGAAAGAGTTTGTCCCACACTGCCTGAATCTAACTGGTGTTAGCATACACAAAGCATGAAAGTGGCCATGCAGTTATGTTTTTCATGTATCTGAAAGCACAGCTATTTCCTTCTGATAGCCTAGAAATTACAGGATTTCTGTGGAAAAGAAACAACCATATATTTAAAATGGATTACAAAGCTGATGACCACTTGATAAACAGAGTTAATTGCAATATTAGAGAAGTTGCATGGGAACTGAAAGAGCAGGATTGACCTCTGAGTTGACACAGATGTTGTCCATACCCATCCAATTAAATATGGAAATTGCAGGAAAACTTGATGAATGAACACTTTGCAGTCAGCAGGGCTGCAGCAGTGTGAACAGCACCCAACCTTAATCCACCATATTTAGTTAATACTGCAATGAAATTAAAAAGTTCTTTAAAAAACCCCATACAGCTGTACGCTAGGAAAAATCTTAAGTACTAGACAAGTTGTCATTTACCCATGCTTAACATAAAATGTTGCTCAAGATGCTACAGTTATTTCCTGTGCTACATCTAGAGAAGCACTGTCATAGGTAACACAAGGACTTTCACCAGCAGTTAAGGTTCTTAGAAGTCCTTAAAAAATCAGAATACAACTGTTACAGGTTGGAAGCTGCAAGTGTTTTTAAGGACTTGAAAAGCTTCCTGGATCTTGTGACTAAAGTATTTACAGAAATATTTCTCTCTATTTCCTGCAATACACTAGCATGTGAAAAATGAGTAAATTCACTGTTTAATTGGACACAACTGCAGTGACTCCCACAGGGAGTCAAACAGAACTGGTCCTGCAACAAGCCCTGCTCCTCCCCTTCATAGCAGAGTCGTGGTACTGGACCCAGTGGACAAAGGGATGAGATACATTTCTTCTGGGAAGTCAGAGGTGTCCTATGTTGGATCATGACAGTTTTTCCTGGAATACTGTAAAAAATGATCCAGAGACAAGCACACCCCACTGCCAGCCCACACCTGAATCCACGTGCTGGATTTCACCCAGAACATTGTGCCAGCTGATGGAAATCAAATAAAACATGCAAGTCTGACCTAGCCAGATGCCTTAATTTTTGATCCAGCTCCTGGACTGGCTATCCAAAGAGGACTTGGGTTAAAACCTAAGAGCAAGTTACAAGTGGCTGCGTGGGCTGCAAAGAAAAGAACATGCACAGAGTTGAAGATTTTAAGAGATCAACACTGTTATAAAATGAGAACCTTACTGAAAGCAATGCAATTTGTGTACGAGACTGAAAAATATCCTGAAGTGTTGCAAGAAATAGCACAGGGTTGTAAAACCAGTAAATAGTTGCATTTTCTATACTGCAGTACAGCAACAGAAAGGATCAGCTTCTCAAATCACAACCCATTACATGTCCAGCAGGAAGTGGAAGTGGCCAACCTGCCTGGTAGGATGTGTTAAAAAGCAGTTCAGGTGAAAGACAGCCAAGGAAAGAGCATCGTGGGTGATATGTTATTGTATAGATGATATATTTCTCTCATGTAAGTAATATTAATGAAGTAGTAACTGTGAGTTTAGCACCTATCAGTTAATAGTATGTATTATGTTAAGATACACATTTCTTTGTTAGAACTGCCATTTCATAAAAAGGTTTGAAGGGATCCTTTTAGATCCACCTTTCAGTGCCTCACTTCTTAGAGGGAAGCTGCTGGTTTTTCAATGGAACGTTTTTATCTGAAATTTCCAGTAAGCTAAATGTGGGCATTTGTAGGAGAAGATTCAAGTAAAAATGATCCACTTTAATGGTATGAACATTTAAAAAGGTAAAGAGATGGCTCTGTAGCTTACCAATTTTGTGAAGTAAATTTATCACATGAGAGTGCTGAATTACAACATTACAGAAACTGAAGGTGTCAGAGCTTATCAGTGAAACCAATAAATGAATTGTTACGTGGTGGGACAAATACATGACTGGAACAGCTATGGAATGTACAGTACTACTGACTGTATGGACAGCTGCAATTCCTACAGATCTTCAGCTCACCAAAAATATACAAGTTTTAAAATGGAAATCTAAGGCACACAAAATACCGTAATGATTTGATGTATACTGTATATTACACAGTCAGTAAGCATAAAACTGCTGGTACAAAACAATGGCATAATATTGGTTCTGTTTTATCATTATTTACAATCCCTTCATATCCTCTATTCGAACTAATATTAAGCTTGGAACTAAAATTTGCAGCATACCCGGTTTTTACAGGTTTTACTTAAAATAGGTAAGATACAAAGAACTGGTTCAATTCCTCCATCCTCTGCCATTAATAGCTTGGTTAATTTGAACAGGAATCAGTTGAGCTGAACCCAGGATCATTATATAGCGATTGCTACTTCAGACCTGGCTCCTGCAAACGCTGCACTTGGCTACAGGAAAACAGTCTCATGGATCTACAGCCGCACCAAAGGATTTGTAGCACCAAGGTCCTGACTGGCACTATGTGTTCCAAACACCACTGATGTACTTTTCGTACCGAAACTGTAAATAAGAGTTCTTGCACTTCAGCTTCTCAAGGAAAAAGCACCTCGTCTTTAAATAAAGCAGATCCAGATAGTTTGTATTCCTCTATACAGCACCACTACAGTATAATATTATCAAGTATATTATTAGTATGTTTCCACACTGGAAAAGTGACTTCATTTTACCTACAGGATCCCCAGCCAGGGCGGGCGCCGAGGCAGAAGGAGGGGACAGCTTTGTGTGTGGGCCTGATCCTGCAGCGCTCGGACCCCAGCGAGTCCTGGCGTCACTGCTCCTCCTGGCTCCAGCCGGCTCGCATGGAAGAAGTTGCAGGATGAGGTCAGTCCTTAGCTAATGTTGTCATTTGGTAATTTGTTTAAATAAATAAGTTTAAACAAGAAATACATAGGAGAGGAGAATCAGAAAGAAGAGTGGGATGCTACAGTATTTAAAAGCAATGGAGTGTCTGTTTTTCCTCTGGTTTAGCAAATACTCGGTTCGTGATATGTCACTTTCTCAACAGAAATGAAGAACATAAATTTCAAGGAAGGATACAACCCTTTCCATGTGAAATGTATAAATTGCTTCAAAAATTTACAAAACATTTCTGCAAAATAATTGAACTCGGAAAGTTGGTGAATATTACAGATAGGTTTTTCTTAACAAAAACTTTGCTGCTAAATATTAAAAATTTGATAGTTTTCCAATACTTCCTTTGTATTTTTCCCAATTTTTTTTTTTTTTAATCAGAATAGAGTAAGGCAACTCTAGGGGGTATTTTTTATCCCAAAACAATCCTACCCCTGAGGCATTAGGAACATTTGGTTGCCATGTTAACTTAGAATGCTGCAAACAAATGATACTGATGCACTTATTGCTCAAAGAAACCATAACAAATGCTGCCTTTTAAAAAACCAGATAATGTTCATAACTCCCAATAGCAACACACGTATTGACCAGACATCTCCTCATTTCATGTTTGTACACTCTCTTGAAAAAGAATAAAAAAGGCTCTATAATTCATTACTGTTTGTTTAAATGCAACATAAAATCTTCAGTGAAAAAGGGCAAGTTAAACACAACCACATATGCTATCAGCATACAGCCTGCAGCTGTAACACCATGGAACTCTGCACAGCAAGAACAAAATCATTTCTTCTGTAGAGTATGCACAAACCTTAGACAATATGATCCTTATACTATACTATTTCAAGTTAATTTTAAAAATAGAAAGTGCTTTTAAAATATATATTTACAGCTTAGAAACAACTTCCAGCCATCATTACCAATAACCTCATTCTACTGACGAATCTAAAGAACAAAATTAATTGGTTTTCTAAAAGATTTGTCTGTAATTTGGACTATACAGCAATGGTTGGAAGTTGTTAAAGCAATGGCACCATGAAGTAATAATTCAGCTTATTTATTTTTAACTGTTTGATGTGGTTAAGCACCAAGAGCTGTGTAGAGCTATAACTGTATAATTTGATTTAACACCATAAAATGTGAACCTGTTAAAATACCTATAAATGATTTTTGTAGTAAACAGACGATTTAAAGCACCAAAATATAAATTCCTAAAGGTAATAAACTGAATGATTCAATCAAGGTTAATAACCTAAACAAAATCTTTTTTTAGAATGTATTAAAACTATACAACTTTTTTTCTTTTTTTTGCTTAAAATGTGCTTGAGCACCACCAAATGTTAAAGTCACAGTTTAAGAAGAAATCCCCCCCCCTTTTTTTTGTGTTTTTGCCTCAGCCTTAAAATGGTTGAGATGAGCATATAGTAAACGACAGGAGACTTGTTCTTTAACAGCACCTTAAAGAAACACCGTGTAACTGCACCAGGAGGGGCACACCACACCGACACCTACGCCCAATGGTTGTAGGGCCCTGCCACTCGTGTCAGGGCGTATGAAGATACTGTGATCACGTTATCCTTGGTTACTGTCAATGCTCTGCGGGATGGAATTTGGTTGAATTCGTTGTCTTCATAAAAAATATCTCTGTTTTCACTTGGTTGCTTTGCTTTCCTGTTGCTAGAGTTCAGTTCAGGATTCTCCGTTCCTAATCGTTCCGTTTCTTTTTCTTTTTCTCTCGCCCTCTCGGCCATCTTTGCTTCCCACATGGCTAAACCATGTTTTGGCTCATTTAAATTTTTGTGTTGGTAAAAAACTAGAGAAATTCTTGTGGGATGATTGCGGTTGGGTTTTTTAATTGGTGTGGTAGCGTGGAGTTCACGTCTTGCACATTCAATTAAGATAGAACCATGAGAAGGTGCCACAGCAACCCCACCAATATCATCATCCAAAAAATTGTGCTCGCTGTCTGACCACAATTCCTCAGCCTTTTCTTCAGAATCAGCCGCTTGTCCCAGTGCACTGTTTTGCTTTTCGTCAACGCAGTCAAAGTCACAGATCTGCCCTGGATGGGAGCTGGCCTTTTCCCCCGGGCATCCATGGGAACAGTCACCTTCGGTTCCCACGGCGTCCTTTGCTGAAGAGCTTAGCGGTACTGATGAGTCACAAGAGCTGATCATCTCTGAGGAAGGAGAAGTGTCCAGCTGAAGCTGACAATTCTGTTTGTCTGGCTGATGATGTTCAAGTATAGTGGGCAGGGGCTCTCTGTGGACTGGGGGGCCTGGAGCAGTGACCTCGGGAAGAAGCGGTGGCACTCCATTCACCTTATCGTTCAGCAGAATTCCAGTATAATCTTTGACTGACACATCAAAGCTCTTGCAGTTAACGTAAGGTGCCACGTGAGGTTGCTTGGTACTGCATTCAAAATACCCGTAGGGAACTGAAAAATCTTGTTGAATATTAGTCACTGCGGTTAGGCCAGACTTGTGTGCCAGAGATGGATAAGGATGTAAACTATCCACTTTAAAGGGGGAGGAAGCCGTGTACTGTTTTAATAAAGAGCAATTTTTAGTAGTGTTTGAAGTATGTTTCATGGCATAAAGGTGGTTGGAAGTCTCCATTTTTATTCCAGGTTTTAAAGCATCTGTTTTGTTCCCTAGAAGAAATGCACACCAAAGTGTAAGTACTTCTCAATAAATAAAATACCTCTCTTAGATTTTCATTCTTGCTTTCCAACATGAAAAATGTACATTGACTACAGATTTTTCAAAATTATTACTTTTAGTTTGAATGAATATATATACATATATATATTCATACAATGTATATTTATTTAGCATGAATATATATACATACATATACATATATATATAAAATAACCTTGCTCAATTAATGCCTTAACCTTTTCCAGTCAGGCTGCTGGTGTATACAACAGAAAGGTATTTCACACAGAGAAAAAGAAAATAAACAGATAAAATGAAATAACAATTGAATCCAAATTCACGCAGCCCAGTCCTATAGAAATGCTTCCCAGCAGCTGAATGCTGGCCTTCAGTTTTTACATAATTGATGAAATTCAGTCTGAAATTCAGCCTGTGAATCAGTCAAAATTCTGACCTGCCTTAACCCCATATAATGATCCAAGGAAAAAGCATGTTTATGGATCTTGTCCATCACAGCAAAAACAGTTACTGAATTACAATGATTCATGCATTCCAATACTGACTCAGAAATTGCCTTTTTTTTAAAAAAAAGTCACTGGCAACATGCTCCAGGTAAACCCATCCTTACAGAATGGATTTTGAGTCATGTGATTTGGCTGTCTTGCATATTTCCATCTAATCACCTCATTATTTCAGATCTCTGTGCATACATCCTTGTTCAGTGTCTGTTCCTTAAGCCATTTCCAGCCATGGCTTGACTGGGAACAGGCTCCTCACAAGACTGATCCTCACTGTGGGCTCTGATTCTCATCTGGGTTCAGCCCAGAGTCCATGGGAGTAACGGGAAAGAATTCCACTGACTTTGCTGGGCTTTGCATCATGCTCTGCAATGCCTTGCCATGTGTTTTGCCAGCAGACTGGCACCCCACAGAGAGCTCTTGCTTACTCTCATAGAAGACTGTCAATGTTTCTTGTTTATCCCATAAATACACAGAATGGTTAATTGTTTTACACAGTGTAAAAGCATTATTCTTTCTTCTACTCTCTCTCCCCTAGTAATTTATAAACTAGTGATAAATTAAGAATGTTCCTCCAATAGGAATGCAAAAATTCAAAGTGAGATAATGACATTTAACAGTATGCAAAAACTGAAAGCTGTATGAGGATGTGAGGAGGCCACATCAACTCTTTAAAAACCTGTTTTATGAAATAAACACAAAGTGTTGAATGACTTTAACAGCCCCCACCCCAGAGCAAGGGCTTTGCCCTAAAAATTTTAAACATAGCATTTGAGAATTGCATTCTCCATTACCTCAGGAGAGAGAAACGTGTTCTGTGAAAATAAGTTTTAACAACCCTTGGTACTCAATTACAGAAGAGTAGCAAATGAATTTTTATTTGTTTTTTAAATGTTATCCCCCCAAAACACAGATATTTTTGAAACACATTTACCTGTCACTCCTCCCCTTAAATCTGCTACATAGGTCTGGATAAAAAAAAAAAAATCAAAATTACAGCAGATGGGCTAATTTTCTTCTCTTCTTCCTAACAGACAGGGTTTCATTTTATTTATTTTTCACCTGCTAATCAGAGAATTTAAGACCATGGCTTCTTCCACCTCTTCCTTCTTTTCTGCTTCTCATTTCTGCCCGGTCCCATCCCACAGTCCTACCCTGTGGAGGCCTGAGCCAAGAAGTGACACCAGGTAACAGAGCCTGGCCCAGGCACAGCTCTGTGCTGCCCACACGGCCTCACTGGCACCTGCTCCTTGCCAACAGGAGCAGTCACTTGATAAAACCTGGGGGATCTGACACATCTCTTGCTGTGCAGCAGGGTTCATGCCATTGATAGGGAAGTATCACAGCTCAGATTCTGAGAAAGCTGTTATCTGCCATAAGAAGTGGAGAACACAGTTCTTGTACTTTAAAGTGACGGAAATTATTTAGGGAAACATTCCAACAAAGTTCTTTAAAGACTGTCAAACTGCCATTATTTGTTAGAACAAGGGAACTTAGGTGAACATAGGTGTTCACAGACCAACAATAAACTATTTTTGGGTGATCACCTGGGGTTTCTTCTGCCCCATGAGACAACACTGGCCACAGTGACCTTTTTCATTAACCCCAAAAACGCAGAATATACAACTTGCTTATTTTAAAGGAGCTTTTCCCTCCCATTAGATGTGTAAGAGAACAGAGAATCAGAACAGACTGGCAGAATTTCCTAAGTATCACTCACCTAAACAATGCAAAGTGTTGCCAAGATTTTCTGGGGCTTCAGTTTTCAGTTTTACTGGCGTTGAATATTTTTTATCTATTAATGGCTGCTTTTCACTCGGGGTCCTCCTGGTGTCTGGTTTCTTTTTCTTGGTAGCTCTGAGAGGCTCAGCCAACATTCGCACTTCTCTGGGGAACGCTGTGAGCACCTGTATGGCTCCGGCTTTTATCTTGGCTTCCAGGCCCTCTTCAGTGCCAAACTCATCTGTTTGTGAGATTTTGTAAAGAGGCAACACATGGAGCTGTTCATCGCTTGGAATGACCCCCACTCTCCGGTTATCTTCCTTCGTTAAGGTACAGACCTGGCAGGAGCAGAGCCAGTTACAAATAAACCACACACACCAAACACCAGTTACATAAAGGCTCAGGCAGTCATCCCAGGCTTCACTGCTCACTCGGATTCTGTGGCCTCAACACTGTGGGGCTTTCTAATGCAAACATCTCACACACAATCACATGTGTTTGATCTACCATGACACAGAAAATCTATCAGTACTTTAAGGTTAAGGCACACGCCTTGGATGGCAAAGTGAAATTTTGTCTCAGCTTACAGTATCCACAAATATATGCCAGCCTTGGTAAATATACTGCAAAGTTCCTAAGTGTTCAGATTATTATTTTAATACATAAATACATATTTGATGTTCAGATTCATTTTTAAATATTACAAAAGAAGAAAATTCATTTTTGCATTAAACAAGAAGTGTTTATGACCTGGAATTTATTCTATGATTTAGAATTGGTTTTGGTTTTTGTTTTGGTTGGTAAATGAAAAAAAAAAACCCAAACCAGCACAAACAGTTACTCACACTGCTCTATATGTTTTATATGTTTTGCAAATCTCAGCTCTCTCTCCCTCTCTCAATACTTTCTTAAATTAACAGCCTGCTGTAATTAACTCACAGGACCCAGGAAATGTTCTCTTAGGCCACTGCCCTACTTCCTCTTATTCTGTGTTGTGAGATCCTGGAGCCCAGAGAGTGCTGGTTATATCGGGTTTGATGAGAGCACATCAGAAATGTCAAATATATATATCCCAACATATTGCAATTGTTTTCCTATTGTCATTATAAATGCTGAACATTTCCTTGAGTTCCAGCTGTTACTAACCCTTCCCCCTGAAAGCAGGGATTTTTTCCTTGCTGTGATCCTTGGTGTCATTCCCAAGGGACAGCAGCAGCTCCTTGTGCCTGAGCACTTGTACAGACATCCACCCTCCTGCAGTTCTGTCACTTCCATTCCCAAGGGGCTCCTACATGGTTAGAAAGCCAGGCATTGATAGCATGGCTCAGGGAAGCTGCTGTTCCACAGGAGTTACTAACTACACACATAAAGGAATAGGAGCACCATCCAAGGATGAGATGATACTCCCTAAATGGAAGCGTATCATTCCATCATTCTGTAGGCTGAATCTGACACCTATCATAAACAGCCAATCCAATTTCCCAGAGTCTTGTCACCATGCTTAACATTCCAGGGGAGAAGAATGCTATTATTTACGGGGTGAAAAAAACCCAAACATTTTTCATTTATAGCACAGCTTTTGCATAAAAGTGTCACACAATTATTTCTAGAAAAATAAAAATTACAGAGCCACAAACTAAAAAACCCTGAACCAAAAAAGTGGTGGCTTAGGCTTTATCAATAGCTCTATGCAAAGCTTGGCAGTTGCAGAGCAGCAAAAGGAGGAAATCCAAGGGGCAGAGACAAGGAAGAGCTTTTCAGGAGGCAGCTGGAAGGGATGGAGAGGGGGCTTTAGGGCAGTTAGCAGCAGCTTTGTGGCGCTCACTGAGGTGCCGGCTCCATGCGTACTCACCTCCTCTGGGCAGCCTCTGCACTGCCAGGCACATTTAGGAAAAACAACAAGATGTTCCGTGAGCAGCGACTGGCACCTTGCTTCCTGTGAGCTTCTCCAGCCCGCACTCCCACCCCCCAGCCCAGCAGGGATCCCTGCTCCCACCCCTGCTGGCCAGGGGAAACAGGGCCTGCCTCAGCCTTGGGGCCACCTTCTCCTGGACCCGGGCTCCCCTCACTCAACAGGGACATTTCACAGCCCACAACAAGAGGTTAAAAAACCTCCAAAGACAATTCAGTTTCTGCCAAGTTCTGTGACATCTGGTTGAAAATGGCCAGCAGATGCCAAATTATTGAGGAAGGGTGAGAGAAGGTCAGACATATAGAGAGCATGATTATATATGAGTGATGTTCTCAGCCTGGTGCGTTCTCCCCTTCTAAATTATAAACAAAAGCAGGAATAAAGCCAGCATGGAGGGGCCTGGCTCTCACTCATTTTCATGAGAAACTGGGCAGTGATCTTTTAGAATACCATGTCTAGCCTCATCTGAAAGAAGTCTGGAGGATTCAATCCACAATATTTATTATTTTGAAAACTGAGAACCTCATCCAATTTACATTTATAAATTTCCATGCAAAAGCCAACACCCTCTAGAACAAGAAAGATGACCTGTTTTGAGGAACTAAACAAGATGAGGGCTGTAGTATATTGCCAGAACTATGGTGGAAGTAATGCCAACTCCAGCACACCCTGTATGTTAAATACTGAGTTTGAATACATATTAGGAAATTAATGTGTAGCCAAAATTGTAAGCAGATCTGAAGACCAGTACATCTACAGCCTAAATATCACAACACCAGTTTTAATACATGTATACTTCCACAGTCAGTGCTCCCTTAATATATTTTAACATAAAAGTGAGGGCACTATGGCAAACAGATAACTGAAAATAATGATATGGGAAAACCAGCCATAAGTTAAGGCTGTATAGATAACCTAAAAACTTACAGCTAAAGGTGGTAATTCACCAAATGAGAAATACCTGCTTAAAAAAAATACTTCAATATTCAAACCTGTGCAAAATATTCCATTAAGGAACTTAGAAGCTATTGCTGAGAAGTGAAAAAGCAATATTTTCCATTGGTACTGACACTGCTGCAAACTGACCAAAATTAAATGCAAACATGAGAAAACCATCAAGTCTGTTAAAGGCCATTTAGAGCATGAAGCTGCATATCCTGCTACTGTGCTTTTTCCACAACTGGCAGCTAAATCATCCAGGATGCTCAAAGGCCAAAGAAATGTTGGCCAAATGGTTTGTTTAGGTTTCCAATGTGCTTGGTGATCAAACCCATTACCATTTAGTTATGTCATGGTAAAAGTTGCATGTTTATCAAACTTTATTATTATTATTCCCTTCTTTAAAACTTCAAATGCACCAGGAACTCAATGAAATTCCCTCCAGACATCCATCTGTAGCCACACAGCTTCAGTGTTAGTCTGGGTTTCTTTGATCTGCCTGTGTCCTCTTGAACCTCACATACAGAAATGATGGAGCCTTTTCCACTGTGTTGTAATAACAAATGTTTTACATTCAAGTTTCAGCAGAGCAGTCAAGCAGCCTTTCTAAACCTGAGAGGTGGAATCAGGTTTCTTACACACACCTCCCTGTGCAGCTGGAGACAGAGTGGTGCCACTGGGGACTCAGGTGCTGCTGCAGCCTTGCCCACTGCTACACAAAAAAAATCTCTGCTTTTCCTTTGCAGCCAAGACAAACCATGTGGTTTTGTTGGTCTGATCTACCCTGAACAAAACCAGAGAAGGGAGCTGCAAACATATTTTCCTTTTGCCCACTTCATGCCCCCAGGCTGTGCTGTTGGACAGGTGACATGGGTACGGCACGGGATCTGCACTCTGGGAATTCAGCAGCGAACAACTCATGTTTCTCCATTGGCACAATATAAAAACCTAACAGAAATCCTTCTTTTACAGGCTCAGGGGTTCATCTTTCCTCCTGTCTGGTAGAAGCTGAAGCACCAGTTTAAGCACTTGGTTCTGCTGCAGCTCCTGAATGAGCAGGGTGTAACCATGCACAGACATCCTGTCAGCTACTGCAGAGGCCTGGAGCCCTGTGCCAACACTGTGATGGGCTGTGCCTGCAGAAATGCAGAAAGGTATGGCAAAAACAGAGGGTTTGGTGTTTTTTTCTGAAGCAGGAAGAGTTTGTTGATAGACTGGTGATTGTCACTGCTTGGCTCTACTGCCAGTTATGAATTACATATTGTAGCTGCCCTCAAAGCATAGCTTTATCTTCCTCCCCTTCTTCCCAGTCTGCTGCAGACTGTGGGATTACAAAAAACTGCAGTTGGTCTCTCTCCTTCCTCAGCCCCAGCAACAAGGGCCCTGGGCCCCCTTGGATGAGCAACAGCCACAAACAAGCTGCAGAACCAGCAACAGCATTTTTGTCCCTTTTAAACCCCAAAAAGAACACTGCCAGTGTCTTAAATGGATTCCCACACGTATGAAGGAAATGACCCTTCACAGCTAATCTGATAAAGAAACAAAAGTACTTCCATTTCACACACTCCATCAGTAACTATAAAAAGCTTTTATCTGTGTTGCTCATTTAGCTCCATATCCATAAGGAACACACACCCTAACACTAGCTGTAACATACATCAGTAGCAGAATGTTAAGAGATGACAAAAGAGTCTAAGTAAAAGTGAATGGCATATTTATTGCCTTAAAGACTCTTTAAAAACTTAGTTTGTAGGCAGAAATTATTTTGGCTTCTTTCAGACAAACACATTAGTTTACATCTCTGTAGAACTGTCATTCTACTACAGAGCAAGCAGGGAGTGCTTGTTTTTAGCTTTCTACCAGAAGCAGTATAAATTCAGAGCCTGACTCTGCTAGCCAGGAACAACATTCAGCAACCCAGATATCCAGTGGTAATTACCATGTAGTGGTAATCCCCAATTTGTCTACGTTAAGATGTACTATTCTCTCTCTTGTATCTCCAGAGGGCATTTCCAAGACACTCCCACTGCTAACAGCAGCTTTACAGAATGATTTATTTTCAGAGTCACATACAAATAGTGCAGCTGATCAAACACACATACTGATCAAAATGCAAGAATGTTTTAAAATATATTTTTATGGGTACAGCAAACTTATCCCTTATTATTACCCTCATTTAAGTCTTTTGTTGAACTTATGTCTTTGCCTGGTTTAAATAATTTGAATGGACCCTGGTTTTCATTTACTTTTGGTGCTCCATTCAGAATTCCTGTCATACTTGTGGTAAAAGTGATTTACCATCGATGTTAGTGTCACACTGACAGAGCCAGCAGCATTTCCAACTATCAACTTACAAGGTATTTACTGTAACCTCTTTAGCCTTGAAGAACTTTAGATTTTATAAATAAAGATTTTGTGTTTGCCTAAGTTAAAAGGGAAGAAATCTTAACAGCACTAACAAGGGCCAGGATGACAAGTACACCCTGTACAGACTTAAAATGTGAGGCGTGACAAGCAGTTAAAAAAAAACAAGTGAAAAATAGCAAAGTCATGGATGCTGGAGGTTTTAGTGCAGTGCAAATTGTTCTCATTCTGTTCATTACCACACTATGAGAAAGCAATCTCTGTGAGAGCTGTCACCTCACAATTGTACTTGCACTCAGTACATTTTACAGACAAAATACCTCAATAGTTATGTAAATAACCCCTCCATCATTATCATCAGTGATTTATAAGAAATCATCATGTATTTTAAGCTAAGTAGTTCTGGAACTACACAGGAATGCAGGAGGTGCTGGTATCACATGTACTAATTTCTTTTTGTGTCCTTACCACTAGATTTCCTATGGTGTTACCAGACCAACCAAGGCTGGTTCTAAGCCAAAATTAACAACCCTAATTTTGATTGTCATGAAAATCTGGACTGAAGAAAGCCCAGCATGTCTGCCACCCTGTCTGCAAAAAACAACATTTTTTGCTTTAGGCCTCCAATTCATACAACTGTAACTTTGCACAGACAGGGAACAGCAAACACTGCGTGTCCTGTGACCACAGCCACAACTCCCAACCCCAATTCACTTTCAAAATGTCCCAATTCAAGTAGGTAAAGTCGAGTGTTGACACTTAAAGCTGTTTTCTATTTACAAATAGCCCCCTGCCGCAAGTATAGAGAAATAAAGAGAAATCCTGTCTAAAGAAAGAGAACACAGGTATGCAGTATTTATTTGTGAGTGAGCTACCCATGAAAACCAGATTACAAGGCAGAGTTTTCAGCAGCTCTAATCATTTGGTCATGTTCTGCAAAACTGACAAAATTTGGCAGAACTTGGTAGAAAGTGACAGAGGTAAGTTCTGGTCCATACAATGGACAAGTTGTAATGTTCCATGCTTCTGAGACTTGGAACTACTTGCAAACACACCACATACAATCCATAAAGTATCAACTCCAGCAAGGATAATGTGAAGCTGAATTGAGATCAGGTAAATGATCAGATGATTACAGATAACTGCAATTGTAGAACTAGTTCCCAATACATTCCTCAAAAAAGGTTTAATTGTCCCTCCAGGTGCTTCTGGCCATAACTTATTACTTTTTTGGGATCCAGTATGGCAAAAATGAGTAGCAGACTCAGCTGCCATTTAGTTTTTAATTTAAGAGGCAATGGAGCTCTTAAACTATTCCTTTGAGAACATCTAAATTAAATTTCATCAAAAAGCCTATCGTGCCATTTGTCTGACAAGGAGATCTCATTTTCAAGTTTAGAATCTTTAAGGGCATCAAATTCCTATGCTTCAGGAGCAATTTTGCAATGCAAAATAATAGTCTATTGAGGACTGGCATTCCTGGTGGATTCCCAGAGTTGCTTCCATACTGTAAAGGAATGGACATTTGCTCACCTTACAAGACAAAATTAACATTAAACAACTGTACCAATCATTTCATTGTTGTCACATACAAATGCTCAATGTTAACTACAGGTGTAAATGCAACATTTTATTAAATTGCAGCAACACAATAATTCAATTTGCATTTTAAAAAAAATTCTAGAATAAACAAAGATACTACATAGATTTTTTCCAGATAAACATCCTTTGATAGAAAAGTTACTCTTGTTACCTGCAATGCTGTACAAGCACTGTGATGCTCCTACTGCTCAAAGAACACTGCCAGTTTTATCTTTTCTGCTTTGACCTTGTCTTTCTTCAACACTATGGTCTAAATTTCTAGAAGATCACTTTATTGAGTAATTCCCAACCAATTTTCTCACTGGCAATCTATCAAGGCATTTCATACAACAGCCACACCAGTGTGTGGGGTTTTCCTTTCACACTGAGATTTGAAGACTGTAGTGTGGCTCTATCACAATCCACACCGTCTACTTCCTGACCTGTAACTACATTAACATGAAGCCTGCTAAGTGCCCAGTGCAAGAAGGAGTGAATTTGATGAGCCCAGGGAGATAAGTCAGTAATGAATTAGTTTGTTTTAGCTCTTCCTCTACAGAGGGCTGGTTGGTTAGACAATTATGTGCCCTAAACATCAGCAATCTCCCAGGAATAACTTCTCTGCCCTCTGGCCAGGCCTCTCCAAAGGATCAGGTGTCTTTACAGAATTGGAGGTATTCTGTAGGAAGGATCAATCCCATCCCCTTTCTGATCTGCTCTGCAATAAGATCAACTCATGTCCTCTGTAGACAGTAACAAATATATGCAAATACCATATGCATATATATAATAACAACACTTGGGCACTATTAAATGGCATCTTGCAGGTCATTATGAAACAACTTCAAACCCTTGATGCAAATGAAGTCACGAGCATCACGGTGGAGCTCGCGGTAACGCCAGTGAAGAGCAGCAGTGAGAAGGTGCCGTGTACGTACCACAGTGCTCCCATTGTGCATGTTGTGTGTGTCCTTGTGGGCGTGGGCACAGAAATCGATGCACGCCGTGACACCCGAGAAGGGCCGACCGTCCTTGGAGCCCAGCCGGCAGTCGGGGCCCATGTGCTCGTTTTCCACCTGAAAGGAAAACAAACTAAAGACACTCGGCGCTGAAAGCGTGGCTTTGCAACCCCACGGGCCACCAGCAGCTCTGGGACAGAATCAAGGCAGCCAGGCAGACTCAGTGACTGCTGTTTTCCAACCAAACGTGTAACATTCGTGGCTGGATTGCAATAAGATAATCAGGTCACCCACAATCAAAATGTCTTGGATAGTAAAGCCATTTTATTTTATTAACAGTATTATCTCTAAGCATTTTTCACATTAAAAATACAGTGCTACTTAAGCACCAGCTGAAGTAAAGAGGTGCAGTGTAAGGAAAGGTGCCAAATGCACTGGGATTCACAGCTGCCATGAGGCTGCAGCTCTGGGGCTGCTTCATGGACTGGCACTGCACCACTGCTCAGAGCTGGATGTCTCACACCCACCTGGTTCTGGAAAGCTTCTGGAGCAAGTTTCTTATAAACCGGAGCCACATCAGTCGCTAACATTTGCAAATTATTTTCAAGAAGTTCTTCCTGCAGGGAAAGGCAACATTTGGTGCTGCAGCTTGCTTTAAAAGAATCTCAGCTTCTACCTCCTATTTTATTAAATTGACTTCTGTTCTGCTGCCCCACTGACCATAAACATCTACTTTTGCATGACTAAACCACCAAAGCTGATAAACAGGAATCAGCCAAACAACAGAGGGTACCTGCTAGGTCAGGAACCCAGCACACAGGAACTAATTTCTGCACTGTTTTCCATAGGCAGTCAAGGAGTGAGGTATGTTGTAAATAGAAAGACAGAAGTAACATCCAGAGGAGAAAAATCATACCCCAAGCTGAGTGGGGGCAGAAGCCCAGGTGTTCTGTTAGTGTTTTGCTTATGGGGCCTTAGCCTATGCTGACACACCATGAGAGAAACTCCTAATAGCATTTAACTTCAGCTCTTAGGTGTTCTCTCAGCTATTATTCTCATCCTGCAGCAGAACTTCTAACAGGAACATTTGTTAACTATTTTTGGAGAGACAAAAATCAGGACTTAATGGAAATAACTACTAGATTCAGAAATAATATTCCCTTCCTTAGGCTAAGCCATATAAATACAAGAATTAGCTAAGTGGGCCTCTATGGCAGTGCCATATTTAAGCTCTTATTTGTAGAAACAAT